TACAATTTATATTTATTATGCCCACTGAAACCACAAAACCAATGTTTAATTTTACAATTTAAAGTCACACATAGGAAAATGTTTTACAAAACAAGATATTGTTCCTCAGTGAAAAAGATTACAGACTAGGTCCCAAACGGCTCAGTTTTAGTCATTTACCTGGATAACAGAGCTCGTGGAGTGCAGGCTACAGGACACAGTAATGTTTTAAACAGGTAATTCAGGTTTGAAATTTGACAAAGCTAAAGAGACAATTTAAACAAGACCAGTCTTAATTTTTCAAGGTTTTTGGTTTTTTAACTGCATCATGTTTACTGAAAAATTCCATCTCTCCTGAAAATTTGAGGATAATAAGCAGCTTACATTTTATTGCTTATACACAATCCGTAAATTGCCAATATTTACTCTATTCTGAAAGCACTTGTCAAGATTTAGAAATCTCGGCCATACCTAGTTATTTTTATTGCCTGATTTTACTCAAGGTCTTGTCAAATATTTATGCCACTGCTTATGCCAAACTGAGCATTTCTGCTTTCTATTTACTTATCTGTGAAGTCTATTTATAAAGCATGTGCATGATTTTCTCTGACTAATACATCATATTAATATGTTAGGAGTATTTGTCTAATCCTAATTGTGGCAAGACGAACCAACAATATTTTTGCCATGCCTGAGTGTGTAATGCAAAAATACTGTCCTGACAGAATATGTATTTCCTAAGCAAAAAGTTTAGCCTCACGAAGTCACACACAGTATGATCTTCCATTCTAAACACACTCTCATTATAGGTAGAAATGTTTCCAATATGCTGTAAATTGTTAAAGAAATGGCTGAGATATGGTAGTTAAGTGCTTACTGTAGACACGGGGTCACCATGAAGAAGAATCAACTCAAAGGCAACTAGCAACAACAACATGGACATAAAATATCGCAAAGCTCAAAAACAGCTGGGAGAAATATACACAAAGTTTGAAGTGAATGCTGATGGTTTAGTAAGTGCTGTGACTTGACTCATTTAAAAGTCTGCTACTCTAGCCTCATGGTCTTCAAGTTTTGATGCCATCTTAAACATGCACCCAGATGTATGTATAATTTATTTCAGTGACCACTGTTGATTAGAATGACCGTTGGTTGTGCCTATTTTCTGAATGTTGAGTATTAAGTTGTGCCCAGTTTTGGCAAAAATCTTAGCGCTCTTTCTTATAAATTATAAAATCATTAAGAAAAAAATTAGTTCAAAAATGGCACATTAGATAGTTATCACTGAAGATGTTAGCACCTCTATAAAAATTCTAATTATATTTTGGATGTGTGGGGAAAAAAAAAAGAGAGAGAGAGAGAAAATAAAAAGAAAGCCCTGCTTTATTTACAAATCACAGTTTTCCTCACAGTGTTAGACTTTGGGTCACTCTGATGTGGCAGTGCCTTTTAGGACGATGGCCACTATTTATTTTTTTTCATTTGACTTATAGCAGTGCAGATGTTAGCCAGCAGGGCCATGAGATAAGGACCACATACAGCAAAAGTATTGCTAAAGTGCTAGTATATTAGTAGGGTGCAAGTAACTGGGCTAACTAGTGTATATGTTTCAGTTCTATTCTCTTTTAAAACCAGCATCTTCTAATAACACATCCCCTTATTTGTTCCATAAAACCTGCAGAGTGCCAGAAAAATAATGACCAGATTGAATTATTTGTGGATCTGAATATTATCTGTATTCTCTGTTTTGGCTGACTATATGCATGTTTGTAATCTGTTACCACATTAATTAAACAGAACACTTATGCATTGTAGAGTGATACGTTTCATGATGATAAAAGTTGGTAAGTCATTTTTTTATTTCTTGCCAACAGGCCTATTAGGAAAATTGTTTCTTTTAGTGGACTAGTCAGTTAAATTGAACTGTTTGACAATTTAAAAATATAAGTTGTTGGCAAATGAGAAAGATAGTAGAGAAAACACTAGTTGCTTTTTTGTGTGTCTAAATGATAAACCACCTTGAATTTGGTTCTAGTATGATGACTATCTTTAGATGACCACCTCTGTTCTCATGGTTATTTTCTTTGTTTTGGAGCTTTGAAATTTTAAAAATATAAAGCATTTTTATGGCTTCAAGTTTAAATATAAATGGATTAGTAATATTCACCAATCATGCCAATGAGATTTCACACTCATTCGTAGAGTATTAGCAAAATAACCTCAATATTACATTCAATCCTTTCGTAAAGAGTGAACTTTAAATCATAGTACAAGTTCTGGACTTCTGAGTGTGGCTGCTGTCATTTAAACCATCACTGTGGCCTTACAAACAAGGATAGAGTCAATGAGGAAACATTACAATCAGAAACTGACCCAGTCAATCGTGTTGTGATTCCACAATTGCCTTGTAGCTGTAACCAGCCACACTAAGAAATCATAGTCAGAGCCAGCTGATGTTATCAGAGATTCCTCTGCCTGCCTCAAGTCCTATTAACACCCACAGAACATTTTTAGTTTATATAGAAATCTATCAAGAACACTTCATATTTGTTGAAACAGTTTGGCTACTTTTAGTATCTGAATCATTTAAATCCAGATTGTTTTAGGTCCTCTGTAGAGTGCTATATATACTATGGACTGAATGGTATTAATTGTAAAAGGTATTTCTAAAGCAGACAAAAAAAAAAAAAAGGTTTTAATATCATTTACATCACTCAGAGGTTATGTGAACACAACTTTCATCACACAGCTCCTTGTCCAAATTTATCAGTAAAGTGAATAGACCTGATTCTTGACTGTGTCTTGGCTTCTATGGGAAGTTTCTAAGTTATCTACGCACCCAAGTTTAAAACTTGGCTCTTATTTGCTTGATTAAGTGTTTTTCTTACTTGTGACTTAGAAAAATTAGGGTTCTAAGGGTTAATGGGACTTAATAGACCTATTAATGTAACAACAATAATGGACAGTGCTGGTCATACAAGATTAAATTTAAAATTTCTTTAGACAGGAAAACAATAATATCTGAATGAGGATACATGTGGAATATATACATATACACCTGTTTCACACAGAAAGCTTTCTGTAAAAAAAAAAAAAAAAAAAAAGCAACCAGTGCTGCATATTATGTAAACTCACAAAGTGTACTTTATACACAAACATGAAGCATAAATTAAAAAGTAGGACAACAGCAAAACATTTTAAATATAGAAGAATTTGCACATATTTTTGTTAAATAAGAATAAATAATTTTATCACACAAATTCACATACTAGTTGCAAAAACAATAAATTACTCTTTTTCAGTGCTGCAACTTTTAAAAATTTTTGTTTGTGATTAACCCCTTAATTCTTAGTTTAATGGGATAAAACTGTTTCCACAGGAAGGCAAAGGAAGTTGAACTTACTGAATAAACTAATTTGGCCTTTTCTATTCTGGAAGAAATGCATGGTGTTTTATCCTGGACTCCCTTTTTATTTAATGAAACTTGCTCTGGAGTGTTTATAAGTGGGATTAAATTCTTACCTGAGAATTTTCAGATTTTTTTTTTTTTTTTTT